GGGCGGAGCTTCGGCGAGTAAGAGCAGGTAAAGCTTCAGTGTCTCATCCTGCAGCCTCAGAGGAGGAGAGCGACAGCAGCATCCGAGGAAGGTGAGACAAAGACGACATCACACTCTGAATAAAAACATGTAGAAATAGAAACGTTCATGGGGTTAAATGAATGTTTTCAGAGGTTTATATGTAAAATGTTTCTCCTCTCACGTTTACTCACTGAAGTTTATTCTGATGCTCATAAAACTTCTGAACTGATTTTTATAGATATTTAAATTCTTCACAGAAAATCTAAACTGCCGAAAGCATGAACTAAATGTGTTCAATTTAATGTTGAACTTTTTCTGCTTTATTGATATGAATGTGTTTTCTACTCGATGGGACGCTGTGTTAAAGGTGTTGTCTTGTTGTTTCTGATCTTCTACACACGCCTCATGACAGACGTCGGTAACGCTTTGGTACCTTTTGATTCTATGGATCATTTTAAAGACACATGGTATGAAAAAGTGTCTAAGATTTTAAATACCTGGTGCGTGCAGAAGTTTGTATGTGTGGGTGTGTATGTGACTTCCTGTGCTTCTGCAGCCAGCCTCTAGTGGACACTCCAGGATTTTACACTTCAGCATCAGGTTAATTTTTCAACACAAGTTTTATTTTTACAACTCATCAGTTTTGATTTGATGAAGGATAAGAGTTATTCACAATAAGGCGTGTAGCTGACCTGATTGACAGGTGGGCGCGGTGTAACGGTTTGTCAGGAGGTTTAAAACCCGCCTCAGCGTCAGCTCTCAGCCTGTCGTTAGGTTGACTGAGGACAGGTGTGTGTGTGTGTGTGTGTGTGTGTGTGTGTGTGTGTGTGTGTGTGTAAGGCTGTGTTTATTATTATTATTATTCATAAAATTGTTTTCTTCATAAAAACAAAATGTTCTTAAAATATATTTTTCTGGTCGTGTCATGATCGGGGTCGTAGTATGACCAGGAGTTTTGTGCAGGTGTTTTATATTTGTTATATTTAGGCCAACATGGTTTATGAGGTCTGGGGTTCAGCGTCCCGTTAGTGACTCTGTTTCTTCTTGTGTCTCAGCAGGACTCTGATGGTCTGAGGATGACCCGTCACTGAGCTCTCTGCTGCTCTCAGGTGTTTCAGGTCTCATCATGTCTTACCTGAGCTTCAGTCTGTCTCCCTCTGCTGGACACTGTGAGAACAGCAGCGTCTCTCAGCGCTCTCTGTCCAGCTCCGTCCCCTTCCTCCTCTACCCCTCCTCCATGGACCACTACAAGAGCCCCCTGAGGGGCCCCGGCCTCCTGCCCTACCTGTCCCCCTTCCACGCCCACGGACACTTCAGCGTCTACGAGTGTCCCTTTGAGCCGGCGTTCATCCAGAAGCGAAACGAGCGAGAGCGTCAGAGGGTGAGGTGCGTGAACCAGGGCTACGCCAAACTGAGAGACCACCTGCCGGGTCAGAGCGCCGACAAGAGGCTAAGCAAGGTGGAGACGCTGAGGGCCGCCATCAGGTACATCAAATACCTGCAGGGTCTGGTGGAGCTGGAGGACGGCCCGTCTCCCGACGCCTCGTCACCCGGAGGAGAGTCTGAGGGGGTCACAACCTGCTGAGACAGCCAACTTCCTGTTTACTGTTTCGACTTGAACTGAGCTGCAAACACGACGAGCCTGGCCCTCGAGAACATCAGAAGAAGAGACGTTAAAGAAACTGTAGAGAAAATGTTCCGTTGTGTGTTTCTGTTAAAGATGTTTATGAAGTTATCGATGTAATGAACGGGTCCAGGATGCATTTTCAAAGAGAACCTTTTTTACACCGAGGACTTCGTTTTGACCATCGCCTGTAAATTATTAACACGTCTAGGTCTCCGTCCGATGGTTAAAATGTCCGGGTGACAGGCGCTGGCTGAACTTCCTGTCCGTCTCGAGTCCATCAGCTGTGGTGAAACTGAATTTACTTTCATAATGTAAAAAAAACAAATAAATAAATTCTGAAAGTGCTCGCTGTCTGCTAACGACCCTGTGGCGTGCTCGCTTCTCTCCAAAGCTGCATTTACACATTTTGAATTACAGTTGAAGACATCGTGTTATAAACTCACATTAAAGGTCACATGATGCTTAATCCTCTTCTCCATGTTCCTCTAACTCTAACATGTGTCTCTAGTCCGTCTACAAACCCCCCAATGATGAGAGAAGTCCATCCTCTCCGTCTTCTGCCTGCTCCACTTTTCAGAAAATGTGGTCTCAAACAGGCCGTCTGTGCACCTCGGTAGGTGATCAGTAGCTTCACCTAGGCAGAGCTGGAGACAACGGCAGGGGAGAAGGGACAAACAACACAGGGAACAACAAACAGCTGTATCACCTACAGGAAATGTTTTTTGAAGTTTCATGACATATTTTAACTTCTAGAAGAATGATTTTGCATTTTGTTAAATATGTTTTTAGCAGTTATTAAGTCTCCGTGCTTGTTGACCTTCAGGGCCACCATAGTTAATACTTGAATCAATTTAATTGTTTTACTTCAAAAACAAACACAAACCTTTTCAGTGAGACAGGTGAGTAGCAGAGGAATAAATCCATCAAACATTGAAGGCTGTTGAATGTTGAAATAATCGGTAACCAAAGGTTGCTGATTTTTTGTGTGGAATTTAAACAAAGTTCTGGTTGTTATCCACAATTCTTTGACAATTTAAGACATCTTATATCCCAATAATTGGTGCCTATGATTTTATTTTTGTTGGCCTGGTATCCAAACAAGTATCGACCTAGTTAAATCTATACTGGAATCATATCAAAGCTTTAAAATCTGGTGTTGTGACGACACTAACAGATTCATTTCAAACCAGCCACAAAGATTTCTGTGAAATAAATTCCAGTTTTCATATGAAGGTGGAAACAGGCGACACACAGAGGCAGCGTCACTAATCTGTGACACGTTTAAGAGGAGAGAGAAAGGAAAGGAGTCAGTGTGATCATTAAATATTGATTTAATATTTAATCGTCAAACTCAGACGTGAGGAAATGATGAAGCAGAGCGAGCCCGTCCTCCCAGACAGAAGATGAGTTAGAAAAATAAAAAGCATTTTGGATTAAAATATGAACAAAGTTTTAGTGGCTCTGTTCCAGCGGCTTCCCAAAGATCTTTTCTTTGCACACTTTCATTTTTAACTATCAGTCAGACGACATCAGTCTCCATCAGACCACATGGAGACTCACTGTGAGCACATCAAGATAAAACCACTGACACAAAGAACCTCCGCTCGACAGTCTGAGACGTTCTGAGAAAAAGAGAACTTTGAGGTTTTCTAACCTGGGCGTCGTTTCTTTACTGTTTAGAATCTAAGTGGTGAATCGTTACGAACATCTCGCAGCAGTGAGACGGGCTGCGTGGTGATCTTCGGACGATCCATTCAAAGCCGTTGTTTTTGTCCCTGACAGGCTCCGATAGTTAGACTCTAAGTGTGTGACATCATGACTGCTGACTTACAATAAAATACTTTGTAGGATCAAAGAAAAGGTTCCTAAAAACCAGTTTGACTTTTTTTTTTTTCTGTTTTAGTCTTTTGCTGCTCGGCGTCTTTATTTCCTCTGCTGATCGTCACTTTGAAGACGTTTATATTCTGTGGACGTTTTTATTTCAAATTAATTTGAAGTAATTTAAGAAGCTTCTCTCTGTTTTCTGACAACACAAAAACAAATAACTGGTTTATCAAGAAGAAGCAAAAGTCACATTCATGTTCCAGTGAGCGTCGAGCCTGTTTGTCATCTATTTGTTACCTTTTGTGTTTTCTGTTTGGTCTTTTATCTCCAGAGGAATCAGGAAGCAGCCGAGTGTGACGAGCAGACCTGGCTCCTGATTGGACGGCTCATTTTAAGTCGTCGTGCAGCTGCTTTGTATTAAGAATCAAACTGTTGACACATGAGAAGTGAAACAGAGGGAACACTTTTTATAGCTTTAAAGACGAGCGTCTTGGCGATGACTGAGTTTCCTGGACTAACCTGGACGCTCATACGAGATCTCAGTGACTCAGAACACAGCTGGTTGTTGATCATCAGTGATCATGTGACATTCTGAGCGAGCAGGTGGAGGAACATTTTCTACATTTAGGACATAAATTCAAATCACTGTTTTAAAACACTTCTTCTCTTCTCACTCATTCACACACGAGCGAGCGATCTTTGGCTTGAAGATAAAACTGAAAGCTGTTCAGGGAAACGAAATGAAATACTGAAAGAAGTCAAATATCGTTCATCAGGTTTCCTTTAACTCTGTACTTTCTTGATTTTAACTTGGGGGGGGGGGGGGGTTAGTGATTTCAAACGTGTCACAAAGAGCAGCTGCTGTTTTCATCCAAAGTTTAAGTCAAATCAGAGCGGACATATTTTAGACTCATCCGTTAGTGGACCAAACCAGAGTAGGCAAAAGGTCTATCTGATATCTTTCCAAACACAAATAAAGAGAAATGTATTCAAACAGAAATCTAGACTCATTTGATTTGCGTCGTGTGTCGACACTGTGGGTTTCTCTCTGCTTTTCTTGTTCTTATTTGAGGTGAAAACAGCAGTGTGTTCCTGCGTCTGCAGCGTTAACCTTTGGCACAAAAAAGGAACAATGTGAAACTGATGAGGACGTGAGGGGAACAAACTGATGAGGACGTGAGGGGAACAAACTGATGAGGTCAGGAAAACACTGAAACTGATAAAGGAGCTGTAGACATCTGTTTGACCCTGTAAATAAAAACACTGAGGTCTCCACTGAAACTCTCCTCACAGTGATTAAGCCCTTCACACCCCTGTTAGTGTTTTTACAGTTTGTTATGAAGCCGCCCTGATTTGTGTTGGATAAGTCGAGTATGTCCAGAAAGACAAAGCTGCAGAAACAAGCGTGGACTCAAAAAAACAAACAGGTCAAGTCAGTTAAGAGTTCAGCAGCTCTCAGTCTGTCCATCTGCTCTTTCTCTCTCTGTGTCTCTAAACATGTGCAGCCTCAAATCCTCAGCTGACATGTTCAACTATGAGATCGTCCTCATACTAGATACAAAGGAAACCTCAATCGCCCTCATGCACCTCAGACGTAGAGGACAGGTCGATCGTCCTCATGCACCTCAGACGTAGAGGACAGGTCGATCGTCCTCATGCACCTCAGACGTAGAGGACAGGTCGATCGTCCTCATGCACCTCAGACGTAGAGGACAGGTCGATCGTCCTCATGCATCTCAGACGTAGAGGACAGGTCGATCGTCCTCATGCATCTCAGACGTAGAGGACAGGTCGATTGTCCTCATCTCAGACGTAGAGGACAGGTCGATCGCCCTCATGCATCTCAGACGTAGAGGACAGGTCGATCGTCCTCATGCACCTCAGACGTAGAGGACAGGTCGATCGTCCTCATGCATCTCAGACGTAGAGGACAGGTCGATTGTCCTCATCTCAGACGTAGAGGACAGGTCGATTGTCCTCATCTCAGACGTAGAGGACAGGTCGATCGTCCTCATGTGTCACAGACAAACAAAGTGGATCTCTTTTACTCATCGTGAGGACATAAAGGTTTTGTGGTTTTTGTCCTCAAAGCGTCCTGATGCAGAGAACAGTTGGTCCTCATGCGTCCTGCACGTAGAGGATGGCGAGGCGGCGGTACACCAGGGTTCGGTGCTGCGGCTGCAGGCAGTAGGCGATGCTTTGCTCCACCTCCTCACAGCGTCGAAGGAACCTGCAGCGGTCCCGGGCCAGTTCCTCCCAGGGGCCCCGACGGTCCTCCTCCTCCTCGCTACAGCTGGCGAAGAACTCCTCCACATCGTCACAGAAACGAACCTGAAAAGAACAGGAGAAGAAGAGGAGTACTGAGTGAGTGATGCTCAAAAACACATTCGTTAAGTTCAGAGGAAGTTTGACGATTCCCAATGAACACGTTTTCACTCTTACTCTCAGCTGAACGTAGAATTAAACACAGAAAGATGAACCAACAGACATGCTGGAGGAAGAGAAATTAAACTGTCACAAAAATAAGTCGGCAGTTGTTACTTTCAGCTGGGTGCAGAATATTCTACTCAAGTCTTATTAAGTGTGCAACTCTATGAACCATGTGTTCCTGAAGAAATATAATTTCTTCAACATTGATAATTTCATTTTATACTCTGATAACTGCCTGATATTTAAAATTATTAATAATCTTGCACCCCCTCCCCTTAGAGAATGCCTGGCCCAACCCAGCTGTGGCAGAACTGGGAGGACTCGGGCATTGTTGTTGTTGTTTTGTTTTATAACACTTAAAAAAAAAAAAAAAAAAAAAAGCGTTTAATGAAGTGTTTGATAATATTTATGGATTTAATCTGATATTATTAAGTGTAATGTTACACAAATTGATTTTTTTTTTTTTTTTTTTTTTTACATATTCTGATATTTTCGATTATGTATTTTCTGCTATGTATTATTTGTTTACCTGCCCAGGGACAACAGATGCAAATTGGCTATTAGTAAACTCTGGTGCAATTACATTTAATTGTGTGCTGCCCCTGTAAAAATGAACAATAAAATAAAAAATGTTTAATAGATTTTACTTACGGTAAGTCTTGTGATTAACTTTGACACATATTAAGGTTCTGTCCAACTTCCTTGCCACAGTTTAGTTTTTGAATGTTAGGTATTAAAAGTGTGTCCTATACAAGAGGAGATCATTAACAGAGACTCTGCGCTGAGTCATGATAAAACACTGTGAGTTTCACTTGCAGTCATCTTGTTTCATCACATGAAGAGCTGCGGTGGAATACAGAAACTAGGGCACTCCGTGTTTTAAAGAAAGAAACTTCAGCTGAAAAAGAAAACTATCACAGTGTTCAAATTTACTTCTAGATGTCACATCGACTCTTTGTTTGGGACTTTGTTGTATTTGTTTTGAAATTTCCCCATCAGGTCTGTCAGAAAGTACACGATCAAAAACTCCCTCTCTCATGGGCTTGGCTGTATTTATACCCATGATGTCGATGTGTTCCATCATCTACATGTTCTCTGATGGACAGTTTCGTTTTATATTTATTTATTTTGCTTTGAGACAAACTGGGACCAAAACACTCTGACAGTATTTGTATCGCAGAAGGAACCTCCTGGAGCTTTAGCCGCTCTACAGATGGAGGTCGGTATGCTCTGAGACCTTAGACGTTCAAAATATAAAACAAGACTCCTGCTCTTGGGCAGAATCCAAAGACTCTACTCGAGCACAGAAAATCACTTAAGGCAAATGTAATTGGTGCAAAGGACTAACGTTTCAACGCACTGCGTCTTCCTCAGAGTCAAACAGAAATGGTACAGATGTGAAAAAGTTAAAAACACTCCTACTCGTAGTCCTTTATTAAATCAGCATCTGTACGGTTTATGTCAAATTATGGACAATTTAAACTTTTCTTTTTGGGGACCGTTCATAGGATGGAAGGACAACTTTCCCCCTTATTTTCCCACCTTCATTTAAAGTTTCTTTTAGACCTGTGGATGGGAATGTATCCTTAATGTCACTAAAGATTAAAAGAAGAATCTAATAACGATTTACAAAAACCATCAAAGTGATTTTCAACTGAAAGTAAAGAAACTGACCTTTTTGATTTTGCTGTTGGAGCCGGAGGAGATGCAGAGTTCGGAGAAGCCGCTGTCCAGCCTCTCCTCGGCCTCTTCCTTCCTGTACTCAGGTGGAGATGTTGGGTTGTGGTGAGTGGAGCGAGGTGAAGTCTGGGAAGTCTTTCTGGGCTTGGCTCTCGCACGAGGCCCTACCTCAGCGGGACCTCGAGTCCTGATCGTGGCCTGGAAGTTAAAGGGGCTGTAGGGATCTGAGGAGCAGCTGAAGGAGCTCAACAGGCGGAGGCTCTCTGCTTCATCCACCTCGCTGGCCGAGGTCGAGTCGTCCCATGTGTCGTTTCCAGAAGGAGGTGATGAGGAGGTGAGCTGAGGGGAGGAGAGAGGGAGCGAGGTTAGGTCAGGAGAGGAGTCCGGGGTGGACTGGGTGGAGGAGAGAGGCGTGGAGGTGGGGATAGTCCTTGGTGGGGTGCTGCGGGTATGCAGACGGGCGGTGAAGTTTCGAGGGTTGTATGGGTCTGCACCTTGGCAAAGTGAGGTCCACAGCCGCTCCGCTTCAGAGTCCGCCTCGCTGTCCGAGTCTGCATCATCGTCTTCATCGTCCTCATCAGAGGAGTCGGACAGATCAGACGAGCCCTCACTGTCAAAGCCATCATCATCATCGTCCTCACTGGACTCCCTGTCTGACTGGCTGCTGTCGTCGTCACTGCAGGGGCAGCCCATGATGAAGGCGATGGCCTTGTTCTGGCACTGGGGGTTTGTGAGCGCCATCGCCTCCACAGACTGACCCTCCTCAGCCGTTACTTCCTGGTTGTCTCGTGCACCTTCTTCCTCGTCTGCCTTTCCTGATGCAGACTCGCCCTCCCCAGCAGTCCCCTCCTCCATCTCCGTCTTGATGGGGGCGCTGGTTTCAGTGGATTGGAGGTCCTGCTGAAGCAGCTCTTTACTCGGTGGTTTCACCATGTACAGGTGGCACATCTGGACATGTTCCTCTTCCAGACTGGAGTAACCATTGTCCTGATCCGGGGTCAGAACTGCCACCTCACTGCAGGCGGCGGCAGCTCCTGATCTGCTCAGGTGGTCACTGATGCTGAGGTGCTGGTCAGGTGTGGATGCCTTTGTGTTCTGGGCTGTTTGAAGGCCTCCATTGTTGGCCGGCTGGTCTTTGTGGTCAGTCGGTCCGGTGTTTTCTCCAAGCGTCCATCCCCCGATGTCGCTCTGGACAAACGCAGCGGTTGTTTCTGCAGCAGAGGCATTTGTCTCAGCCGCTGGTTGTTGTGGACAAAGCAGGCCTGTCACATTCCTCTCATCGGCTCGGGCCTGTGAGCCCTCCTCACCTCCCCAAAAGCTGCCCCACCATGTCCTGCTTTTACCCCCATTACTCTTGAGTGAAGAGCTGACTACCTCTGTCACCCACTCCTTTTCACCTGCAGGGTTTATTTCCTGAGAAGACACCAAACCCAACCGGACATGACTGAGAAAAGTCCTGGCAGAAGAAAAATATCCCACCTGAGTCTGCTGGCAGACATTCACTCCTTCTGCACTTTGAATACCCATTTCCCTCAGAGAATCAGGGGTCAGCCAGGGTAGAGACCCGCTGTCTGTGGGCTCCAGGAGGCCGGGTGCTCCGTGGTGCTGACAGCGCAGGTAGGTCAGGTGAGGGGTCAGGTGAGGAGCCGGGTGCTCTGTGAGAGGCATGATGTCGTCCAGCTGTCTTAAAAACTCTCTTTCTTCATCCTCAAAGCTGTTTTTAAAGTCCCCACTCATCCATCCGGCTCCTCTGTCAGGCAGCGCAGGATTCCGGGGCCGACCGAGGAGATATTTTTGGAGAAATGACATCGCGGGCCTGGACACCACGGAGAGCAGGCCGATCCACGAGCTTTCCTGACTGTGGAGGCCGGGGGAGGCGACTCCGTGCCCGGCGGGAGAGGACGCGCTCTGCCCGCTCGATAATTGTCCCTCACTGCTCATATTTCTGAACATTTTTTATCAACTCAAAAAAAGTGCAAAAATAGTGATTATATGAAAAATAACCTGAGCAGCAGGGTTAAATATCTCTGTGGTTCAGCTGTCAAGCTGTAGGAGTCTGCAGCCCGGGCACATTTAAACACTTTCCATTTTAAACACTTCAGTCCTTTTATGAAACATCGTGTTTACTCAGGAAACATCGTGTTTACTCAGGAAACATCGTGTTTACTCAGGAAACATCGTGTTTACTCAGGAAACATCGTCTTTACTCTGACTGGAACTCACAAGCAGCGTCACCTCCAGAGGGAACCCCGGAAACATCGTCCGTGAGCCCGGCGCGCTGCTGGGACTGATGGTTAGACTTCTTTCTGGTGAAGACGGTGACAGAACTGGAGAGCGAATACAGAGAGAACACATTTAAATCCCGGTGTGAAGTACAGTCCAGGCCGGTAGAATAAAGAAACGCCATGTTAGGCTGGGTTAGAGAGCCGTCCTCCTCTCAGCCGGTGAAGCTAGCAGGTTAGCTTAGCAGGAAAGCTAGCTTAGCGGTTACTGGACAAAACGCGCGACGGTGGATTTTAAATATCCCTTCAAAACAAAGCGATTTCTTCACTTCGTTGTGAAGTTTACACCGTTAACTCGCCTCCTAATGTTAACACTGTTTGTTTTTCTCCTCTTCAGTGGGATTTCAGCCGTCGTTTCGCTTCCGTCTGTCCGTCTCTGCGCTGCAGTGTGAGATTTCATCAGACAGTTGAGGGACCGTCGCGAAATACTCGGCTTTACGTTAAACGCAGAATCAGCGCGCAGGGAGCGTCAAGGTGTTACCCAACCTTAAAAAAGCGCGTGACAGCTGCTCTGTTACGTAATCCAAAGTGAGTCCAAGGATCCCATGTGCCAATCTTCAGTACAGCCACGTGTTTATCAGCTTGAGCCTCCCACACATAAACCCACAGGTCCCTAACTGAGACCACGAGCTGTGTTACAGGCTGCAGGATCAAGGACATGCATGAAACACTCCGTCTTTAAATACATTTACATGCATTTTATGAAGCCAAGTTTATTTCCTTATAGAAAATAAATTCATAAAAAAGGTCCTGACACAAAACTTCACCCCCATAAAACACTACCCACATGACCTGCTTCATTATTATCATTACTAACATTGTTTATTATTATTATTATTTAGCATCAATATATATACATATATACTGTACATTCTATATATTTTATTATATTATTATATCAGTCTATATTATATAACATTTAATTATATTACACTATATTGTTCATATTGCACTATATTATATTATATTATCCTACATTATATTATATAGCTGCACTCTGCATTACTGTGGTACAACACTGCCTCTCTTCTCTGCTGTTTACATTACTTGCTGCTATTTATCATACCAAGTCACTTTAATCACTTGTCACTTTATCTTGTCATTCTCTGCAAATACTGTCACAATTCCCTGCATAGTTAACTTCATCATTCATTTTGTACTTGTATATACTCCCTATTTTTTAAAAATTTATCTTATCTATTCTGTTTAATGTGTATTTTGAGCTTTCTTGTCTGTGCTGCTGCAACGCCTGAATTTCCCCTCTGGGGATCAATAAAGTATTATCCTATCCTATCTAAATCGATAAGAGACATATTTGTTTTATCATAAAACTAGGCGACATGGTTTTCTACATCCCCAAAGCTTTAAGCACATTTCCTGCTTCCCTCCCAATGCTGGGCCTGAAAGTCAAACGCACAAATATTTCATGATTGCAAAACAGGCGCCAAAAATATTTCAGGTAATGCAAAGGTGTGGACGGAGGGAATGAGGAAGAGACATGAAAGGAGGGAGAGAAGAAGAATGTGCAGACGCTTGGTTTTAAGACATAAAGGCAGTAACGAGAGAAGAAAACAGGAAGGAAAATAGGTTTTTTCAGTTCAAGTTTATTTTGTAGTGCAAATAATACAAAACATGTTTCAAAATGAAAGTTACACATTAATAAGAGCCTGTGGGTCAGAATCACATTTTCATTAGCGTCAGTATTTACAGTATATTAAGATTCAGTTCACTTTGAACTTACATTCTCTCCCCGGGGGCTCAAACTCCGCCCACCTTCACCGAACAACGCCCTTCTCCTCTCATGTAGGATTCTATTAAGAATGCTTCAGAGTCATTGCTTCAGATTTCATCAAAATGCAGTTTAAGAAAAGAAGACGGCTGTGGCTGGCTTTACTTTTGAATATCTGATTTTCAACTGACACTTTTCATCAACTTCATCATGTCCCCAAAATGATCAACGTTTAAAATAAAGGCTGTTTAAACAAACTTAGTCCCAGCTACAGGAGAGCACAAGGGTCAAAAATAAATTGAAGGATCACATATTGTCCTCATGTTCACCTTTCATGTTGTCAGCCTGTGAAACCTTGCAGCTCATTAAACTCATTATTGATCGTATAGTGGCGTCGGTAAAACCCTGGAAGCCTTGTGAGGGTGCAGGACGCTGCAGGGCTGCCAGGCGAGGGCTGCTCTCCTGAGCTGGGAGAAGAGAGTCTATGTTTCACCGGCTTCATTGAGGCTTGAAGCCGTCTGGTGAAATTCTTTGTTTCATATCGGGGAACTATGGCGTGATTTACAGAACAAGTCGTTTAGCGCCCTCTGCAGACTCATCCTGGGATTACTCAACATACGTTTACCTCATGATCTGAAACTTTGCCCACGATTAGTTTGGGCATCGAGCATTGTAACACTATATGGGAGTTTAAAAGTGGGAATCAGCAGAATAGGTCACCTTTAAATATCTAAGGAAAACATTTAGGCTTCAGTGTTTTTTTTCTTCTTCCTGAATTCAGTTATTCAGCGACGTCATCCATTTGTTTCTTAAAGGCGTCTTGAAGCCCAACTGAACTATAGAGACTAAAATCTTTTTCTAACCCGGCTGTAAACACGTTTATTCACATGTCAACACGGGACCTAAAGGAGATTTCTTGGCTTCTGCAGACAGCCTCTAGTGGACACTCGAAGAACTGCAGTTTTCTCTATTGGCTTTATTTTTTGGGGTTTTTAACCATGTTGCACATTTAGGACGAGAGCGTTGAACAGTTCAGGTGAGGAGAGTTTGTTTCCTGCAGTTTCACCCCCTCGCTTTGTCTCGTCTACAGCGCAAAAACAACGTGCAGGAAATCGCTCAGTCCCCTTTAAGATTCACCGCAACCTGGATTATTAGAAACCCACAGAGGCAGTTTTAAAAATGGACACAAAATCTTTCTTAAAAAGTACAAAAATCACACACAGAGAGGATTAAAAAGAAAAAAAACAATGGAATGAAATGTAGGAACAGAAATGGGAGCATGGTGAGCTGAAAGGCAAAGTGAGCAGCAGCGCCTCCTGCAGGCGGGATCTGTCAGACTGTAAGAAGCTCTCATGCACCACAGATAGAAAATCCAATCCACACACCCTCACTATAAAAATATCCTGCAGTCTGCTAACTGTCTGTACACATGCGCCGCTTCAGCTACTCCCTGTTAGCAACATTAATGCTAAAGCTCTGTACACACAACAACACACACTGCAGCTCACAAGGTTAAAAATCTTCTTCTGTACACGTTTTCTCAGTTTGTTTGTGTTTGACGGCTCATACTGACCACGTCTTTATTCTCCAGACACAAAAAGCTGCAAAAAAAATGTTTCTGGAAATCTTTAAATGAAGCTTTTCAGTCCTGGAAAATCCTGGAAAATGACTCAACAGGACAAAGAACGGGGTTCATTCTTCTGATATGATGCAGGACCTCACAGACCATTTCTGACTGTATTCAAGAAAGTAAAATGTGACGGTAACAACACCTCACATTCATCTGAGTAATGTGCACACAGCAAGAAAAAAAAGTAATCGCTGAGAAATCAAAACTGAAGTAAAGTCAGTGAATATTTTTCCATCTAGAGCCATGGTTCTCAACTGGTGGGGCGGGACCCAAAAGTGTTTTTTAGGGGTCGCGCAAGGGACACAAAAGTAGTGGCAAAAATGTGTAGAAGGTCAAATCATCTGCCTTTAAATGACAAGAGAAGAAGACGACGAATTATAAGGTAGCACGGCCGAATCGAAATATGACACCGATGAATTTCATGAAATACTTTTGAAAACGTTTCGAGGTTTGTGTTGGGATTTGGTTGTTTAGGAGGTGTCGGAGGTTCCTGAGGCTTCACCAGTTAAGAACCACTGACCCAGAGGAGGTCGTCTTAATCATCATCAGAGTGTTTTGACAAGAAACGCCTGAATCTGTCGTCTCCTCAACATAAACCCTTGATTCAGGCTGAGTGCAGAGCGTCTGTACATCTCATATCTGCATACAACAGACTGGATCACAAGGGGTTAAAACTGCAACAAAAATGTTCCCATGTTTTGTTTAATTTGAACCAACATGAAATTAATATCTAGTAAAGTCTGCAAAATGTTTCGAGACTTTGATACTTTTTGATACCACAAGTTTACCAACAGTCGATCTAAACTTTAAGAAGATTTAAACAATCTTCAGTCATAATTTCACCAAAAGAGAGAGAGAGTTGTACAAAGACGTTGCAGTTTTAAGCAGTGTGCAGTCGTCCTGTCACTTTGTCCAAAAACTCGAATTCAAAAGGATTTAGAACACGACACTTTGATGTCGCTGCGGCACACAAAACATTTTCATTGCTTAATTTTTACCAAACTGATGCAACACTGAGCCTGAAACACTCTGAAGCTAGATCAGGATCCAGTGCAGCTCTCTTTATATTCACAATATTACTCGCCGACGAAAACACCCGTTCAGACCTCACAGACGTTCCTGGTACTCAAATGTTTGCGAGCCAGCTTGGAGAGTTTCAGGTTTGTCTCTCCACCAATCAGTGGGCTGCTGTCTGTAAGTTTGCACATCCTGACTCACGCCGCCGTTGCTTTTGTCACAACATTAATGTCTTCATTTAGTGATGGCAATGAGAGCGCCCTCTGCTGGATCAAACTGCAGGCCGCCTGATTCACTGATAATCTTTATGTTTTGAATTTGAACATCTCGTTACAGTTCGATTGTGAACTTTCTCTTCCAGGTTCAAATTAATGTTCGACTTAAAAATAAAAACTGATGGCCCTGGTGTGCAGGAGGTCCCATGCGAGCCCATGTTTGGTGCCTAGGACTCTTTTGCTGTTGTTGTGGTATCAAACTGGTATCGATAAAGTTTGATTTTTGCTCCATTATTTTAAGTTATTGTGAAAACATTAATACTTAGTTAGTTTAACTTGTGATTTCATTGGACAGTTTGTTAAAGGATCTCATCATGGAATAAATCTGCCTCACTGACTTTAAACTTCATAAATTAGTGTCATTTTTAATCCAATAAATTAAAAACAAAACTCTGATTTTCAGTCTGCGATCCAGAAAGAAACTAAAATCGTTATCCTGATGGTTTCAGTGAAGTTAATCTGAAGCTTTAAACTCTAAACCTTCAGCTCCCTCAAACACAGAGGAAGGATCAGCCACACGGCTTTTACTTTTATCTTCTCTCAGGGAGAACTGGCTCTCTTCTTCTTCTCCTACACTTCCTGTTTCCTGTCCCTCAGTGGGCGGAGTCTGAGCTGGCGGCACCCAGCTGGTGCCAGTCGACCCAGTGCTGACCGGGGACCAGCCTCTTCAGGGGGATGAAGGTCTCTCCAAGCAGTGTGTTCTCCCAGAACGCTCCATCGCCCAGAACCCGCAGGTGGATCACCCTCTGGTCCAGGTCGCCCCGAGGGATCCGCTCGTACACCAGCTGCAGGGCGCGAGCAGCAGGAGGACGAAGAGGAGGAGGAAGAGGAAAACAAAAAGGACATTAAAAATAAAAACTGTTTCTGTTGTGTAAACATGAACATCATCTGCATAGAAACAAACGGCTGCTCGTAAACCGAAGAAACAAAGACTCTGATTGGTCGACATGGAGTGCGTTTTGTACCATCTCGTTGTAGGTGGGGTTACAGGTGCGTCGAGCCGCCTTGGTCTTCCTCTTGCTGGTCTTCTGGGGGTCTGGGAGGAGGTACAGTTTCACGTAGGGGTCCGGGTCGGTGCCGTCCTGCAGGGGCTGCTGCAAGAAGAAAAACCAAGCGAGTCCAAGTCAGTTTCACTTTGAGAACATTGGTGATTCTTCATATAAAAAACATCCTCAGTTTTATCACTTAAAACAACAAAAACAACTTGAAGTATCCTCTAAAGGCCCGATCACACAGAGACGTGTCACCAGCATAACCTTTGTCTTCCTCTGGTACAGCACGCCCGGCGCTCTTCTCTGCTGTTGCTGAATGAGGCGTTTTTCTAGCAGTTTTTGGGCACGTTGAACATTTTTTAAAATGTTTTCCCTCCTCCTCGTCTTGGCGCAACGCAACGGTGAGAGCTCTAGGTTTGCTGGAATCTATTCGTTCCCACTTATTTTCTTGGTCGCCCATATTTGCACGCCGCCTGACATGATTTTCCCCCAGATAAGCTCAGGTGTCTAAGGCGACTCGTCTCTGTGTGATCGGGCTTTAACTACTCAGAGAAATGAACACTTGGACATAAATCAGAATGATACGAAGTAACCATCACAACATAAATCAGGTCGGTGAAATGTTAATTCAACGTGTTTTTAATTTTATACTTTAAACCAAGTCCCATCTCTTTACATGAAGGAGGCGGAGCTTATGACACTAGTAAAGGGAGTTCTAAATCATTTTGGCTTCACTTCTAGGGGGGATGTTGTCTTGTCCATCTTTTTATTCAGTGTATGACCTACACACACACACACACACACACACACACACACTGACCAGTCCTCGTATGTGCATGACCATGATGAAGAGTTTGTCGTTCTTGTAGGAGATCGACAGTTTGACCTCGCCGAGCTCTTTCCCTGAAGGTGGGGTCCACGTCACCTCTGCAACACACAAACACACACACACACACACACACATTTTCATGAAAGCCATTCATCTTGGTAACTTTGTGAAATGTATTATTCAAGTCTGTCTACCACGTGTTAGCACTCCTACCTTTAGGTGTCTGAAGCTGTAAACTTATATGGGTGAAGCACCTAAATTGTAGCAGATCTTTACTTGTGTAAGAGCCAACCATATGTTGTCAACAACTGTTCTCTAGACAGAGAGTCTACATCAGTTAGTATACACATCAGTGTCATGTCATCTTTATTGTTTTATAGTGATGTACCCAAATAGAAAGGAATTTGTGGGTTGCACCTTTTAACAGAATATGAGCAGCACTGTGAACACTGTTACTTTGTCAGTCAGCGATTTGTAAGCATGCGTGTTTGGTGAAGTTGTGTGACCTCGGCCGATTAAATGGTGTTATACTCTACAGTCTGTTTCACAATTTATCCATTGGATTTATACAGCAGAAACAACCCCCACCTAACACACACACACATAAACACAAACTCACACACATGTACACAGAAGAGTTAAAGCAGTTGTAATCAGTTAAAATGTATAAACAGTTGATTGATTGTTATGAGGTGTCGTTTATTTGTAGTGTTGTTACTTTAACCAGTGTAACCATTAGGCCCAGTGAGTGTGTGTGTGTGTGTGCTCCAGCTGTGACACACACACACTGATACTGACGCTGGACTTTAAACTGTGTGTGTGTGTATAACAGGTGTGTATCTGTGCAGGCGGTGGGCAGGGGGGGGGTTAAACTTTAACACCGTTTTATTTTAATGGATTTGATGGAGCTCTGTGGAACATTCACAGAGTCTGTTTGAGTTCAGATAAGAGGATAATCGTCCCGTCCACAGGTAAGAACGTGGAGGAGAAGCTGAGCCTCAGTGAGATCACAGAAGTGTTTAAAGGATAACCTGCTCTTAAATTTAAACTACAGCTCCCATGATGCTTTGGGGAATGTTAACAGAAGTCAGAGAGTTACAGCCCAATGTGTTCATCACAACAGCTGTGTGTGACAAACAGCTGCTTGTAGTGTTTAGTTTGTGAAACATGTAGACCAGTGGTTCTCAACTTGCCTTCCAAACCACAAACCAAACATCTGGTCTGCGACCTCAGACGCAACAAAACACATGACACATGACACATGACCGATGGAAAAAAAGACGGAACAAAAAGCGCTTCACAGACTGTTTGACACAAGTTTTGTTTTCAGGCACACATTTGCAACCCACTGAATAAAGGCTCTGCGACCCACTTTTGGGTCCTGACCCACCAGTTGAGAAACACTGGTTTAGACCCTTTAAGACCCGGTCAGGAGGGGTGTGGCCTGATTTTCGGTTTGTTGCAACCGCTTCTTTGTCCAAATAATCCTCAAGTGTTTGGTTTAAATAGGATTATTTTACTGCTCCGATCTGGAATGAAATTTGATATTCATAATTACAGATCAGGGAGATATTGAGATAAACTGTTAACGTCAGCGAAACGTCACAGAGGCGTAAATATCGCGGCTTGAAACGGCGGTCTGAATATGGCTAACGCCTCCACATCGGTCACGTGACTGAAAGCTCTGCAGTAAGGAGGCAGGTGAACTGCTGAAGTAAACTCTGCTGTGATGAATGTGGACTACACCCTAAAAATAAACTGCTGAGTATGTGTGTGTGTGTGCATGTGTTTGTGTGTGTGCATGTGTGAGTGTGTGTGTGTGTACCTGCTGGTTTGCTGGGTGTACTTCCTGGTGTCTCGTCTCGGGGCAGCGGGTGGAAGAAGGAGTAGACGAGGTCACACTGAAACACACACACGTTGAAAG